TTAGTGTAGAAGTTCTTGCTCCATTTAACTGCCAGGACCCCTCGGCCACACAACTAGCCACAGCACACAACCTTCACCAAGGTTATACGCTCGGACTGGACGAAGGCCAAGGCATACGCCTACTTGCCTTTTGATTAAGGCAAAGGACTTCAGGGACCACAGCCACAACGTTAGCCCACTACCTAGTGCAAACTAGAATGAACGAACACACTAAAACAGGCAACGCTACTTCGCTAAGGCAAAAGCACTCCGCGATCTCGGTCAGGCACCACTAGCTAGGCCTTGGCTACACGTGAGTCCATTCACTAATCCTCCAAGGTATGCTAAGCCAGGAGAGCTAAGGCATTCGCCTCCCTTTCCTTCTCGCAAAGGAAAGGGACCCTAAACCCTCGATGACAGAGCTCGGCATCGGCCTAACTACCTTGGTAGGCTAGGAGAGTTTAAGCATTCACCTCACTTTCCTTCTCGCTAAGGAAAGGGGCCTCAAACCCTCGATGGCGGAGATCGGCCTCAGCCTAATTACCTTAGTAAGAGAGAAGAGTAGGCTAGGTGGGCTAGGGCATTCGCCTCCCTTTCCTTCCCGCTAAGGAAAGGGCCTCGAGCCCTCGGTGGCAAAACTCTACCTCGGCCTAACTTCCTTACCTTAAAGTCCTAAGCCAATGGCTAAGTAAAAGACAACAAATTTTTTGCTACTTGTGACCTATTGGAGGGGGGCATTGGCCCCTAGCACAACAAAAAAGAAAATGCAAAGAAAAAGAAAAAAGGCATAAGTTGGACGAAAAATTTTGTTCATTCATTCATTTGTATATCATTTTGAGCTTTACAAAAAATCGGCCTCGGTTGGAGAAGGCCAAGCCCCTTACAAAAAATAATAAGCAAGCAAAAGCAAAAAAAGGAGACTTCACGGAAGAGTTCCCAACCCTGTTTGAGCAGGCTGCTCATCGCCAGCATGTCCCTCAGATGGTTGCACTGTCTTGGCTGGCCCCGTTGCCTCGGCCACCAGATCAAGCTGGACTCCCAACTGGCTGACGTCAAAGTCAGGCTGCAGCACTAGCACTTGGGCCTTGGTGTCTTCAATGCCCTCCAAATAGGAGATGACAGCAAACTTGGCCATTTCATCCTGATAAGCCTCAATGGTCTTCCATTCATCCATAGCCCGGGCCAAGGCCTCTTATGCTTTCTTCTCAGCGGCCTCGAGCTTCTCCTTGGCCTCCTTTAGTTTCTCCTCAGCCTAACTCAAAGAGGCCTAGGCAGCCTGTAGTTGCTCCCTCTTGGCCAAGACCTCGGCCTCCATCTCCTTTCAACAATCACGCTCCTTATGCACTGCGTGCGGAGCCTCAACTAGCTAACGTTGCAGCGGATCATTCTCCTCCGACAAGGTCCTAAGTTGTTGCAGGAGGACCTCAACCTTGCCACATAGGCCAACAGCAATTAAAGACGTTTGCAAGGAAGAAACGACCGTCAAATAAAGAAAAGTGAAGAAAAAGAATGACTATGGAAGGAAAGAGAGTCTCACCTCAGCCAAGTGATCTAACAGGGTGTCTAGGACACCCTAGATGCTCACCTGGCTCCAGGACTGCCTATCCCTAGCCGGGACCATCCCAGTCACCAGGGCTCGACCGACCCTTGGGGTGCTCAATGTGTCACCCTCTCGAACGCTCCAATGAGGGAGGAAGATGTGTCATGCCGCCAGTGGCATGTCGTCGCGACGGTCTAAAGAATGGGGCTCCGACTAGTGTGAGCCCCCGGCAACGCCCTCGGCTGATCACTCCCTCACCGCCAATCTTTTTCCCCTCAGAGGTTGGATGACCTCGGCTGGTCTCTTTGGGGTGGGCTCCTTCCTCCTCTGGGCCTCAACGGGAGCCTTTTCTCGAGGTGATTCCATCATGGCAGCAGATTCCTTTGGTGTAGGCTTCCTTGACGGCCCTCCGCCCAAAGTCCTCTTGTTGGACTCCGCCATCTGCATAATCTTGTCTTTAATGCCGCCCTCCATCTCTGCAAAGGACCACAAGGCATGCTAGCACGCAAGTGAAGTAAAAAGGAAAGGCGATGTGTACAACCAACAGTAGGAGTGCCCCTACCAAGACGGGCAGGGTTGAGACCAGCCCACACCAAGCCGTCCTCCACCACCTAGGGCTCAGCATGAATCATCCCCGACAACTGAATCTGGGTCATCATGTCAGCCTCGTTGTTATTATATGGTCGTATCCTCTCAGCCACGAGATCCAGCTTCCCCAAGTCATACCTGAAAGGCCAACTCTCCAGACAAGATATGAAGAAGTATTTCTTCTTCCAATTGTGGATGGACGACGGGTTATCCACCACTCTACCCTGTCGGCCTTGGAAGTAGAATAAATTGTCCCCAGCAAGACGCTTCCTCAAGGCGAACATGCACCGAAAAATATTCACAGTCACGTGCACACCTCGAAGACGGGCCATCACCAACACAACTAGGGGTGATCATGGGTCAGGCCGGGACGGGACGGGCTTTGCCTTCATAACAACGGGCTTAGGCTAGGCCTGGGCCCAGCCCAGCCCGCATTATGGGCCTAAAAATATAAGCCCAGGCCCGGGCCCGAGCCGGGTTGGGCCAAGTTTCTAGGCCTAATTATTGTATTTCAATTCCAAAATTAAGCAATTGTACTTTTATAGTAACCTATAAGAAACTTTAAACTTAATATCAAGATAAAAACTTCTAACATAAAAGAAATTAAATAATTATAGCTTGTAATTTATAAGTTTCAATTGGTCATTAGTATGCTAAAAATGATAATTTTAACAAACCAATTCTTCTATCAACAAAAAATCAACCTAGAACCTATAATATCTATCAAAAAATAACAATCCATTGTCATGTAATATCCACAAAACAACTTTAAACATCTCTATAAGGGGCTCCATCTTCCATTCAACTCCTACAAATAAAAAAGATATTAGCAAACTAAGAAAAAATAGTTCAAATTAATGTAAATAAATAAGTAATAAAATATTGAAAAATGGTTTCAATTTTACCCAAAACTTGCTACCACTCTAAACTTCAGATTTATCTTCATCAATGGAGTCTTCATCACTAGAAGATTCGTCTTTTGGTGAAAGAGAGAGATCGGGCGCGGCAGTGGTTTTGTGAAATTGGTGAGAGAGAGAGAGAGAGAGCTGAGAAGATTAGGATTTAGTAATTTCTATATTTCATTAAATACTAAAATAGAATTTGGTAAGGTCTAAGACAGTAGGATTAAAATCTTTAATCTCATACAAATCTCTATTAATCTCTATCTTATATATAAAACAACAATTATCAAAGATTTTTAAATAACGTATATACATAAAGATATATATTATTTATAAATATCCGGGCCAGGCCTAAAAATTAGACCCAAGCCCAGCAATAAATTTTGCAGGCCCGGGCCCAAGTCAGGCCTCAACAAAAAACCTAGGCCCAAGCCCAGATTTTTCGGGTCAGGCCGGGCCGGGCTGAAATGATCACCCCTAAACACAGCTATGATAGTCCTAACGGCATTGAGGGCTAACTGACTGAGGGAAAGGTTGTAACAATTCAAGAGCTTAGAGACAAGAGGAGGGATAGGGTCCCTCCAACATGTCTGGGAGTTCGTAACACTCGGGACCGGAATCAGAACATGACATGGTTGAAAGAGAAGGCCTTTACCTAGCTAGTTGGGTTTGAAAAAGAAGGCCTAGATTGATGGCCAAGGTCTCTGGAAGCTCAAACACAAGCGAACAAATGGTGGGGGGCCGCCTCAATCAACAACCCTATTTAAAGGAAAACGTATGGCTCAAATCACTTCAATCCAACGGCCGCGAAGCCGCCGACCTGACAGCCTAAACCGACACATGCCACGTGGCATCAACCTCGGGAATGCGAAACGACGCCGAGCAAGTTAGCCGGTTTGCTCGCCAACTCCAGGTCAAAAGCAGCCCAACCCAAGCGACCCGTCATCCGTCTCGCATATAGCCACGATCAACTGACTCGTCACCCACCTCGCGTACAGCCGCGATCAGCCGACACGTTACACATCTTGCGCACAGCCACGGCCAATCAACCTGTCGCCCGCCTCACACACAACCACAGCCAGTCAACGCCAACGCCCATCCCGTGTATGGATCCAAGACGACACCCGTGAGAAACATGGCCGATGAATGCGGACGCCTCACGCCCATACTAGGCACGGCTCCGCACCCTCAGCCCTCCATAATTCTCCTAAGAGGTGGAGTCAACAACGAAGCAACTGCCACAGGATGACCAAGTGACACTCTCTTTGGTCGAAGCCGAGGCCTTCGCTTGATGCACCATCCAACGCCTTTAAGGAGCATCGTGACACTCTCTTCAACCGAAGCCGAGGTCTTCGACTAGCATGCCACTTGACCTCGTCCACTACGGCCTCGAGAGTGGGGGGCAAGTGATACAGGCAAATATGGCAAAGCCTAGGATGGCGCCATGTGGCATCAGCCGGATGCAATCCTAGCCACCCACTGCTAACCACCTCCAACTACTACAAGGCAAGGTCAAGTATAAATAGGGGTGTCTATCTCAAGGTAATCCATCTCGCTCAATCTTGCTCTCCTACTTACTAGCTCTTGAGTGATCCCATCCGAGCCTTCATCTCAAGCCTGATTTGACCCCTCTCATATGCTTGACTAACTTGACCGTCGGAGTCTCCGCCCTAGATAACACCCAAGACCTCTGACGTGTACTCTCTTGCTCTCAGGTTGGACAAGCGGAGTTACCTTGCCCTCGGCCCCATCCTTAGCAGCAACAGGATGAAATCCCATACTGTGAATAACCCTTCATATTTGTTAAGGAAGATAAATGCATGCCTGTTAATCAAGTCAGAATCTCTGAACGACACCCGAACAGTAAAGCTTCTTCGCCAAACAATAACAGTAATAGATTGCATGGTTAACACCGAACGACAGAACTGAAACCTGCTGCAATGGATATCTGAGGTTTTAACTGACCAGAAAAATAAAAAAGAGAGGCTTACCAGGGATGCGGCAGTCGTTGCAATAGAGGATATCTACTGGAGACACCAGAACGAAGGTCCTCGGTCTTAGTTACAGGCGGAGACACCAGAACGGGGGTGCCGCCCGTGGGATTCGTACGGCGGAGAAGTGTGTCAGAAAGAGAGAGAGATGCGGCCAGGAGAAGGGATATAAACGAGAAAGGATCAATGGAATGGGGTGAGAGCGCCGGAGGTGGAGTTGTAACAGTGGTGTGCTATGGCGTTTGTTCGGTGGAGGAGCAGAAAACAGGGGAAAGGTGAGCGATCCAGAGAGAGCCGGGGAGGCGAAAAGAGGAGAAATAGTAAGGGTTTGGAAAAGAAAGAGGAAGACCGGGAAGAAAACACCACCGCTGCCGGAAGTTGCAGCGGCGGCAGTGTATCAGGTTAAACGCAAAACAGATAGGGGCAGCATCAGAATTGGATCTACTCCTTACACCGACCTCAGCCACATCCCACCGTTTATTGGGAACATCTCCCATGTATAATAAGATAAGAATGTGCGGCTTGTGCATGCTACGAAGTCGTCACATCTGCGTCTCGCATAGGGCGTATCTCATAATTGAGAATATTTTCCGAAATTGTTAATGGGAGATGTTTTTAATACACGGTTAGGATGTGCCGGTGTTTCAGGCACTATGGATGTGAGATGTTGAGCAGGAACAGTTACCCTAAGAATATTTTCATAATTTTGGGTACTTTGAAGAGGTATTTTTGTCATTTTTGGATTTAAGGAGGGTCAAGAGTAGAGATGGGCTTTGGCGGTCTCATCTGTATGGGTTAATATATAATCTTTTTAATTAAAAGTGGCAGATTAGGGTATTTTCGGGTGAAAATTGATAGATTAGGGTTTTGAGTCATTCTAGATTGATTAATGAGGTCAACTTGACCCAATTACACATGGATCAAGTCCATTTGGAGGGAGAATGGTTTGGTCAATAAGAACCCTTGAAATAGAATCTTTGTCAAATGAAAGGTAAATGAGGGAGTTTTGAGTTAAAACTTCATGGGTAGATATTTTAAGATTTTTGAAGTCCAATAACAATGTCTAATGGGTTCAAGAATGTTGAGATTAAACCAAGGACGAATGATGACACTAACATAGTTTTATTGCCTTACTATCACTTGTAGTTATACTAGTTTTGATGCCATTCATGTATATAGACATTGATCTCCATGCTATAATATAATATAATAAAAAATCTTTGCTTTAAAGATTATAATATGATATATCATGCCATCATAAGGTTTCTTAGACATGCATTCATAATTGACTACACATTAACAAGCTTTTCAGAAATGCTAGCAAGTCTAGGGAGTGTTCTCCAATCTCCAATGCTTATGATTCATTTTTTGGGGTAAATTACAAAGACCCCCTTGTATTGTGGGGTCAGTGACAAAGACCCACTATACTTTAATTTGCAACAAAGACCCCCTAAATTTTTACCATGTGACAAATGTCTTTAGCCATTAAATGACGAAGTGCATTAAATTACCAAAATACCCATATGGGCTTTCTTTATTTTCTTTTCATTGCCCATTTTTCTTAAATCCTAACCTAATCTAATATTTGTATTCCCTTCCCTTGTATATGTGGCTCACTAATTACCATTATCTCCTCTGCCCCTGCTAGTGCCTATCACCATTCACCTTCAACATTCACCACTGGTTACCCACACAAGTAGCAGAATAGGGTGATCTTGCTAGTACAACCAACAAGATCACTAGTCATGTGGATTCCCATGACAAAAAATACCAATTGAAGATAATTGAACAAATCAATCATTGTCGTGGTCACTTGAATCCATAGTGATATGGTTAGTGATGTCTTATCATCTTTCAAATAAATAGGAAAGGGTGGTTTGGGGATTAAAAATAAACAGTTGAATAAAAATTTTCTTCAAAATTAACTGACAAAGGGAGTCTTTGTCTAATGGCTAAAGTTCAAGGGGTCTTTGTCGAAAATTAAAGTACATAGGGGGTCTTTATAATTTACCTTTTCTTCAAAAAAACAACTATAAAATTAGTGATATAGAATTAGATGATCAATAATCTCTGAACACTTCCATAAAGAATAAAATATTTCTTTTGACCATGTGTGAAGTAAAGCATTGACAAGGATAGTATTGTTGGGTGTAGGCCAAATAAACAAGGTTACTCTTAATGGGATTGGGGAACATTTCTACAAATCTTTGTAGATAATTGGGGACAACACAGAGGTTGTAGAACCACAAGTCAAGATCACCAGACAAGGTGATACCCTCACCTGCAAATAGTAGTGGAATACATGCAATTTTGTCTTTAACATAATGTGACATTAAAATCCTTCAATTTTGTTCACCATGCCTTCACTCCAAGAAGAAGTACAATGCTCAACATGACAATAATAATGAAAGCATAAAAGATGGTCGAGAGGCAGTAGCAGTGAAAGCATCAAAGAGAGTAAAGACCATACTAATAGTTCATATCATCAACAATACCAGTGGCAATGTCAGTCATGAAATCAAGGATCCAAGAGCTAGTGTATAACTTGCCTATCCCTGATAATCCATCAAACACCAATTCTCAAATCATCTCAATTATTTATGACAAAACAGAACATTGTGACATGCTTTGAAGCAACTTGAAGGAATTTTACAACTTCATAAAATGGTTATTTGAGTCTTGAAATTTCTAGTTCTAGCCACAAAATCCTCTACATGGCTTGGATTTTTACTTTGGTTACACTCAAAGTTCATACTTGCTAACATATTAAAAAAATATGGGATTAAGGATGTATTAAACATATTAAAAATGAAGAGTTCCTCTAATTTTATCCCATTTTTAATCAAAAGTCCCCATTTTAGGTAATTTGTACACATTTTTTGTCTGACAATATGAATATGTCAATATAAATAAAGTGTTGCTAATTACTTAAAAAATAATTATTTTTTTCCATATTATCTATTAGTCTTCTATTTTATTTATTTTACTTTGTGAATCATTAAATGTTACAATTTTTCTAAATATTACGAAAATATTTAAATATTAGCAAATATATAGAATTAGGCTATAGTCATAATTAAATTAATCTAAGCCTGAGCTTGAGGTTTAAGACTTCAAGATAGTCGGGACTTGTGCAATGCACGAACTTTGTCTAGTAAAATTGAAGTAAAAGGAACCTTACGACATTTTGAATTAGAGAAAACTCATTTATGCATAACTCAACCATTGTTTTTAGGTGTTAAGAATTAGTTCAATTAATGTAGCATACCCATGTTAGATGAACTTGCATTAACAAAAAAAATGCTAGACTGAATTAGTTGTGGATGAAGTTAAGGCTCCGTTTGGTTTGTGGAATGTAGATGAGAAAAAGGGGATATTCCAAAAATATTCCCTTTTCTCATATTTGTTTTGAGGGAAAGAGGGGGATGGGATGAGAAAAAGGTGGGATGCGAGATCCCAACTCGAGAAAAGTTTCTACTACCTTCAACTCTTCAACACTGATATCGTCTTCTTCCATTTCAGTCCGACAATCCCACTCACTACCTCTTCTCCTATCTGTGTCTCAGTGTCATGGGGAACTACATCTCTTGCATGCTTGCCAACCCAGCAGGAAGACAATCAAGAGGTGCAAAAGTGATCCTACCAAGCGGCAAAATCTAGCAACTTGACGGCCATGTCAAGGCGGCGGAACTCATATTCGAGATACCCAATTACTTCTTGGTGGATTCCCGATCACTACAAATAGGACAGAGGTTCTTTGCGCTTAGCGCCAATGAAGATTTAGAAATGGGTAACATCTATATCATGTTTCCAATGAAGAGAGACAATTTTGTTATCAAAGCAGTAGAATTGATGGCCATGTCAAGTTACCCTCTTTGACTAACTTTCTTCTTTTCCCCAGTTCTGTGCGTTTGTATGCAATTTTTTTTGGGTTCCTTCCCTTAAATTATAACGGTGTAGCCTTCCTAGCTTAATCCAATGGTCAATATCTGGTTAAATGGCTTTCATATGTCAATTGTGAGAATTGATGAAGAAGTATGGCAAGGTGGCATTGAAGAATTCCCGATCACTTCAAATAGGACGGAGGTTCTCTGCGCTTAACGCCGATCAAAAATTTAGAAATGAGAAACGTCTATATCATGTTTCCAATGAAGAGAGTCAATTTTGTTATCAAAGCAACATACATGGGAGCCTTGTTTATAAGTGTGAACAGGGCTGCCAACCGGGCTTCGAGTGTTGGGGCAATGTGCATCGTGCCGAGTACTAGGGCGGTGCGCATCGAAAGTTCAAGTAATAATGTTGTCGATCGCAACCATTCGACGTCGACATCAACGTTGCCTCGAGAAGAAGAAGAAGAAGAACCACCCCCCCAAATCTTCCCACAAACCAAACAGAGCCTAAAAAACCCCATATTTAATTTATTATTTAAAAATTAAAAAAAACACACACACAAAATTCTGAAGGAGTTGGGAAGCAACATGCATGAGAACTTGAGAAGCCCAACATGGACTGCATTTAGAATATATTACCTAATGGATTACCCATGCTGAGCAATGAGCATGGGTATATATCTGAAAAAATAGGATCTAATAATAAAGTGCAACTTCCTAAATAAGACCAAATGATAAAAGGAAACTTAATGGTCATAAGAGGCACTTGTAATGAATTGAAGGTGGCTCAGTTGGTAGGATCTCTGACTTGTAGTAGAGACCTGGGATCAAATCCCACTGCCACCAGGGTTGGGGGTTTAAAGGGATGGGGGATGGATTGCCCCTCGTTGTGTAACCCCATGCAGCATAGTATTGATTACCAAAGGAGAGAAATGATTAGCATTTCCAAAAAAATAGCTATAAGAAGAAGGGCTGTTTTTGGAATCATCTAAAGGAACTGAAATATTAAAATGTCCCGATTTTTTGTTAAAAGACTAATGTAAGTTTCGAATCATAGTACACATATTCAACGTAGCTTGTGAATTACGAAAGTGTTATATACATCTACCAAGACCACTTCAATTAAGAAAAAACTAAAAGAAAATCTAAAAAAAGTAGTATATACAAAATTAGAAAATAAACATAGAAATAAATGGTAATGAATTCATATAATGTCCCAACCCTATTATATTATTAGTAATTTAAAACATGCATTAAAGTCATAAATTAAAAAGTGAACTAATGGCAATAATAACTCTATAAAGTAGTGTAATGGGATAAGTGATTCATTTTGAAAAAAAAAAACTAACTATTTAAATTTCCAACATATGAAGGCACATTCAGGTATCCTATAAACAAATAAATAGCAATATATGACTCAAAATACAGAAAATGATAAAATGAACATTTTTAAAAGAATAAAAAGCCTAGTGAAAATAAAATACAGGAAGGCTAATATAAAATACAGATTTTAGATTTCTATTTTTTTAATATTTTATAGTTAGTCTTTCTAATATAGGTTTCTAACATGAAATGATTGCGTTTTCAATCATACATAGGCAAAACAAAGCTTATTTTGTTTCTAGCTCTCTCTCATATA